TCCTAAATTAGTAACACGGTCATTATGGGAATCCGGCTTCCCTCATTGACTGGGCTCGTTAGAAGGTCGCGAAAGGGGAATCACATCACCCCGGGACTCTGCAACCGTCGTAAGTACATGCCAGTTGCCAAGCTTTTGCTCCCACAACCACAGGGGGGCTGCAACGGGAAGCGTGCAAAAGTTGTGCAAGTCCATTTTTTTCTGGGCGGGGTGTAACTTCGAACGGTCACTAAAAGGACAGTTGTAAGTCGAGGACCCCTGTGGCTATCCAGCCTCCGACTGCTGCAAGGGATCTGTCGAAAGAGGCAGCTTCCCAAGGAAGATTTGTTGAGAGGAACTCCGCGAAGTCCATTCTCGCGCACCTGACTGGTTTTACTGGAAACTGGGATGGGAACGGGGGGCGGGGAGGGGAGGGGGAAGTCTCTCTTCCTCCTCTGTTCAGCCCTCCGCCCCTCGGCCCCTTCCTTTTAATTTAAATTAATGGACCCTTTCATTCCAGCGAAGGCCACAAAAATTGTGGGCACAAGGAGTTCTTTGGACGAAAAGAAGTGGCAGCTTTCCAAAGTTTCAGCTGCTCGCAAGCAACTCAACGAATTCTGAAGGGAAGGTTTGTTTTGGGGGTTTCTCCCCCCCCCATCCCTTTTCGCTTGCCATGAAACGAAGCACACAACTACACACTTTTCGGCCGCATTCGGTGGAGAATAAGAATAGGAAAAGAGGAAAATCCACACGAACGGCGCGTCTTTCGTTTTTCAAACGGCGAGAGTTGGGAAATGTAGAGCCATCCCTGTTTTTTGCACAGCTCGGGAGGCAGCTAGTGGATTTTATCAAGAGGTAAATAAACACCAGGATCGGTGGTTATTTGGGTGGGTCGGTCTCTCTGTCCGCATGAAAGGCCATCTTCTTGCTAAGGCTTTTGAAGTCAAAGGTTTAGAACTTTCTGGTGTTGTCTGAGCTTCCGTGTTTTCTTCCAGGAGTTTCGTGACCCAACTAGGTAACGTCATCAGTGCTTAAAAGGGAGGGGATATGGAAGAGGAGGAGGAGGAAGGAGAAAAGGAAGTGGAGGGAGGACTGTGGGTTCCTTGGTGTTCTCTGAGCTTGCTTCATTAGACGTTTCACGACCCAACTGAGTAACTTCATCAATGCTAGAAGGGAGTTGGGTTTATAGGGAGGAGGAAGAAGTGGAGGAGGAAGAGTGTGGGTCCTCTCGGAGGAAGACGACGATGAGGTCCTTGTGGCTCTCTGAGCGTGCTTTGTTTTCTTCCAGACGTTTTATGACCCAGCTAGGTAACATCATCAGTGCTAGAAGGGAATGGGGTTTATAGGGAGGAGGAGGGAATGAGGAAGAGGACTGTGGAGTTCTTGGTGCTCTGAGTTTGCTTGTTTTCTTCCAGAAGTCTCATGACCCAACCCTTCTAGCACTGATGACGTTACCTAGTTGGGTCATGAAACATCTGCAAGCAACCTCAGAGAGAACCAAGGACCCCACATTCCTCCTCCTCCCTGTAAACTCAGCTCCCTTCTAGCACTGATGACGTTACCTAGTTGGGTTGTGAAACGTCTGGCAGAAAACAAGCAAGCTCAGAGAGCACCCAGGACTCCCTCTTGGCAACCCGAAGAGCCGAGGTGGCGCAGTGGTTAGGGTGCAGTACTGCAGGCCACTTCAGCTGACTGCTATCTGCAGTTCAGCGGTTCAAATCTCACCGGCTCAGGGTTGACTCAGCCTTCCATCCTTCCGAGGTGGGTGAAATGAAGACCCGGATTGTTGTTGGGGGCGATATGCTGACTCTGTAAACCGCTTAGAGAGGGCTGAAAGCCCTATGAAGCGGTATATAAGTCTAACTGCTATTGCTATTGCTATTGCTATTGCTCTCTCTGTCTCTCTCTCTCTCTCTCTGTCTCTCTCTCTCTC